GGCGTCGACGAATCGCTCAACCTCCCCCTCGGACTGCAGGTGATATAGTGGCGAATGCACGTGGTTAATACTCGATTGCTTGCAGAATTAGGCAAATGCGGCTCATCAAGGTTTCGGGACAACGGAACCTGCTGAACAGTCGCCGAAAAGTGTTGATTGTGGCTCCGGCTGTCGTGCGTTCCATGGAGATGCCATCCACCCATTTGCTATAAGCGTCAACGGCAATAAGGAAGTTCTGGCCTCAGAGCAGTCAAGCATAATTTATGTGGACCCTGGACCATGGAGCATGTGGAACAGGCCATACCTCAAGTGTGGTCTTTACTGGCGTCTTTGAAGCGAGCGCATATTTGGTGCATGAGCAGGCCAGCTGTTCCAGTTGTTGGTCCATGTGAGGCCAGTATACATAACTGCGTACGAGGGCCTTCATGCGATTGATGCCGGGATGTCCGTTGCGGAACTGTCTCAAGGCCCTGGCTTGTAGATGTTGTGGAAGAACGATACGATCGTAGAACAGAATACAATTGTTAATGGTGGACTGAGAGTTTCGTCGTTGGTAAAACTGTTGTAATTCTCCCGAAATTTTCGTAGGCCACTGATTGCGATGTTACTTGATAACTTGTCTCAACAGCGGATCCTGCTGAGTTGCCTTTCGGACTTCCTCAAACGCGACAGGGATTGCATGAATGGAATCCATAAGTAGACTGTTAACATCGAACTTAACGGAGAAGGACATGATAACTATGTCCTCAGGCTCCTTAGTCCGTGAGTTGATTAAGCACGAGAGTGCGTCCGATGGTTTTTGTAGATTGGTACCGAATTTCGAAGTCCTAGTCCAGCAGAATGGTTGTTCAGCGCTGAAGACGATTTACTGAGTACACATGAATGCCTTTTTCGAGCCAAAAATAGCAAGAAGAGGATTGTGGTCCGTGAGAAGTGTGCCCATAAAGCATCTTATAAAACTTCATCACGACAAAGATGATAGCCAAGGCTTCCTTTTCGATCTGTCCGTAGTTGCGTTCAGCAGACGATAGTGATCTTGCTACATGACAGATAGCCTTCTCTTTGTAGTCGGGAAAAATGTGTGAAATCACGGCGCCAATTCCATAATCCGCAGTCACACATTCTATAGTCAGGATTGAAGTGCGTGAGCAGCAAGTCAGAGCTCAAAATTGTTTTCACTCCTTCAAAGTTTGTTGACACTCTCGCGTCCGAGACCACTTGACATCTTTCTTGAGTAGTTCATTCATCGGATGACGAAGGCGTTGCATTTCCAGGAGGAACGAGCTGTAGTGACTCATGAAACCCAAGAAAGCGCGCGAGGAATTTACGCCTTTTGGCGGTGACATCTGCTTGATGGAGTCGATGATGATCGGAGCTGGGTGACAACCGCCTTGGTCGATTATGAACTCGAGATTTTCACAGAAGACATGAAAATGTTGCACTTCTCAAGACGTAGGCGAACCATAGTCTTGAATTCGGCTGAATACTGTCTCTAGAAGTTGAGACAGTTCATCTGGATTTGAACCAGTGACAATGATACCATCCAGATAGGCAGCGACTCCTTTGGTGCCCGTCAGCATAGTGCCCTGGTTTGCTGGAAGATCGCGGGAGCAGTCTTTACCCCGAATGGCAGATGGGTCTATTGGAAAAGACGACGATGGGTGTTAATGCTAAGGGGCTCCCGGGAACCGTCTTCCACATCGATTTGGAGGTATGCATCGGATAGACCAAGCATAGCGAAACAAGTTCTTCCATCCAGCTTGGCAAAAAGATCTTCCGACACGGGCAAAGGATGCTGATGTGTGTCCAAAGCAGCATTGAGACCAGTGGAAAAATCAGCAAAGTTTCGGACTTTACCTGAAGCTTTATCGAGAGCAACGATTGATGCGGGCCACTCTGAGTAGTTGACTGGCTAAAGAACGCCATCTCGTTAAAGATGATCAAGTTCTTGGTCCACCACTGTAAGTACAGCGTAAGGAACCGGCCTTTTTGGTCTGAAAACAGGTTTTGCATTTGGTCGAAGACGAAGGGTGACCTTCATTGTGTTGCAGCAACCAAGACCGTCTTGAAGATTTGGAGACAAATTCGCTTGTAAGGTCGACATCAAATTAGTTGCCAGCTGATTAGATTTGGCGGGACGGGGCCAAGTTGACTGCATACCATTGCAAATGCGGTTAAGTGGCAGTTCTAAGAGACCAACTTTCTCGATCCCGTCAAAGCTAATTAAGTCAAGCTTCGGTCGGTTGGTAAGGTAGCATGTTCCCTTGAATTCGGTGCCATCAAAGGAGATGTCACATTCGAGCTCACCCGTGAGCCGGAGGAATCCGCCCGAAATATTCATAGCCTTTTTGTCCGAGGTGATCGTCGGAGGCCGTTCAATCTGCCAAGTGTGTTTGGAAACGAGGCTGATGTCCGATGCCGTGACCAACTGGAGGCGTACATGTTTGCCATTGGTGGCAACTGTAGGATATTTCCTCCGTGCCTCAAAAGTAGACTTGAAGGTGGCTATGATGGAGTGGGAGTTTAGGCTAGAGATATATGAGATACGTTTGGAACTTCTCGTCTTTCTGTCGCCTGCCGTTTGTTTGAGGTGTTAGCCTGCCGGACAGTAGTCTTCCTTATGCCCTCGTTTATGGCATTTGTGACAAACATGCTTCTTGAATGGACAGAAGCGAGCAAGATGCCAGTCACCAAACTACCAGCACGCTAATGGTGGTTCTCATGGTGTGGGATCTTGGGATTTCTGTGGCGAGACCGACTTTGTCCGAGTGACAGCATGAACATTGGTGGCGGCAAACGAGGAACTGGGTTGCTCCACGATCGCAAAATCATGTTTAAGATTCTTGAGCGGCTAACACTCGGCAAAGTAGTCTGGGTCCTTTTCAACCTTGGAGAGCAGACGAGTCCGAGTAAAAGTTTCACGAGGTGACTGGAGGGCGCTCACAAAATGAGGCACTTGAATTGGTCGTCAATCATCTTTCGGAGCTTGAAACTTTCGCAATCATGGTTGACGATACTGTTAGGTGTAAGAAAATCATCTCTCTCTTTCTTGACCAGCTTGAGGCACTGGTAAAGGATACTGAACAGGGAGAGCTGCCCACTGAATATCTCCGATAGGCGGTTGACGGTTTCGTGGAAACTGAAGTCACGAGGGCTTTTCGGCAGAATGATATCTGTGTACCGCTCGCCGAATATCTACCCTACAAGATCACAGTCGATATTTCCCACGCTCCTCCTAGGACAGTTT